CTGCTGTTCACCTTTGCCCCCACCTCTTCTTTCTGTTTCTTTTGACAGACCTAAAGAGCAAGAGGAGGGGGAAAATCTTAGAAAAAATAATAAAAGGAAAAGAGAAGAAAACTGCAAAACAAACTGCCATAAGTGGAAGAGCTGGGCATTGGCTCGTAGTGTGTTAGGAACTGGCAGTAAATCTAACCCCTTCATCCAATGCCTTTGATCTGAACTGCTAGGGGAGGAATACGGAAAGCCTCAGGTTGAGACAGATGAGAGGGCTGGTGCTCATGATGCACAAGAGCTGGGAGAAAGCTGTGGTGTGGTACATGTTAGGTAGCTGTACAGTGATAATTCAGCTTTGGGAACACTGTCACTCAGAATTTCTGATAGGAAAAATGCTTAGTTCTAGCAAGATGATAAATGAGAAAATGCTGATAGCTCTTAATCCTGAAACTAAGTATAAGTCAGTTTTTCTAGTTTTTAATGATCACTGAATTGATGGAAATGAACAAGTTACAAATATTTATAGTCATTTTTACACACTTTCTTTAAATCTTGAGGTCAGTCTTATCCCACACATAAAATTCTAGACACAGTGTTAATGCTATGGAAATTAGAAGAGAAATAAATGCAAAAACTAAGCATCATAGCAAATGTAGTTCTTTTATTGGGCAATCCAGTCTAGAGAGATCTCCTTGCATACTTGGTGAGACCTTAGCCCCAGGGAGAGTTCTTGACTCTGATCAAGAAAGAATTTGTTGGTCAGGTCAGACGAGTGCAGGTAAGGAAGGAATTCATTAAATTGGGAGCGGTAGTGAATGGTAGCAGCCATGCCGGCAGTAGAGAGCGGGGAAGAGCAGAGGGAGGACAGGGAAGTACAGTAAACTCCTGCTTGGCATAAGGCAGATCCCTTGCCGACTCCTGAAGCCAGGGTCACCTGGCATCTAGTGTCCGTCCACCAGAATCTTCATGGCATGGGAACTAAGCCCCTTCTGTCCCAGGATTTGGGGGAGCTGTGGAGCACTGGATGGAGTGAGAGCTTCCCAAAGCAAAGAGATTTGGGGGGCAGACTACTAAAGAGCACAGCCATAACAGCTGCAGTCCCGTCTGGGTCACTGGGATGATGGGAACTTGCAAGCCCCAATCAGAGATCTCAGTAGCCCTTCCCTGCCTGACTGAAGTAGAACACAGAGAGAGAAGACCTGTGCTTAAGTCCAGAAAAGTGAGTGAAGTAGCGAGGTAACAAAGACACCACTGGAAAAGGAGTCTCTTATTAACCTACAGGCTTGGTAGAGCGTGAGACAAAACACACTAAGTTGAACAGCAAGAAAGCTTTATTTAAGGCAAAGTACCCATTTAAAGAAAGGGGAGTGGGCAGTCTCAAAGGAGAAGTGCACTTAAAGGCTTGGGATTCAGGACTTGTAAGGATTTCAAGAATGAGGTAAAGGGCCAAGGGAGCGTAGGCTGGTATGTGGCCTTCTGATGTCTATGCCAGTGGTAGAGACATTAGCCTGATCAGTCCCCTGGATATTCTGTCAGACAAACAACACGTGGAATTTAGTGATCCTGTTCTTCTCCAAGAGAGTGGTTACCCTCAAGCAGTGGGAACGTATCATTAAGGACTTAATACAGTTGTCGGTTGTTGGCTAATTACTATAAAATATGTGAGGAATCTTACCTCCTAACTCCCTGGTTTTTAAAATGGAATCTTAGCCTTAAGATGGAGTCCCTCCTGTTCTTACTAGACTGTTTTGTTCTGGCATTTTTCATCATAGGCAGGAAAAATTAAACATGATGCTGCTCTGTGTCCCTGCTCTGCCTCAGTTCTGCCGGACCCTGTCTTCTTTTCCTATGTATATATTTAAGTTTTACATAACCATTGGCTTCTCTTCTAACAAAAATAACTACCTCAGTAATGACAGAGACCTAGTCATATAAGCAAACAATACATGAATGATTTTTGAACAAATGACAAATGTTTTTTTTTCAAGCTAAGCCAACATTAACAAATTGAGAAATTTTATGTTAAAAATCCAGACTTTTGTCTTCTTTTGAAAAACTAGTAAACCTGGCCCCCATCCAGCAAGACAACAAGCAGTTGCTCTTATTTAGAAGACCAACAGATTCTTGGCCTCCATTCTTTAATGTACTTTGTCATTCAACACATGTTTTTTGAGTTCCTACTGTGTGCTAAGTATTAATCTAGGTGCTAAGAATACAAGAGTGAACAAAACAGACTAAAACCCCTGCCTTCATGGAGCCTACCTGCTACCAAGATAACCAGGTAAAATGTAATTTGTGTTAGTAATAACTGCTAAGGAAAAACAAGCCAAGGAAGGGAATATGAATCTCAGTGTGCGTGGGAAATGGGGTCGAAATTTTAAGTAAGGGCCTCACTGAGAAGGTGCATTTTTGAGTAGAGACCTAAGGGAAGAGACAGAACTTGCCATGCAGGAATGTGGAGGAAGAGAATACCAAGCAGAGCCACAGCAAGTGGAGAGGGCCTGAGGTTGGAGCGTGTCTGTCACGTTTGAGAAAGAGGGAGGAGGCCAGCTGTATTTGCTCTGTTTTTCTTAGAGCCGAGCAATACTATGTGCCTGTAACTGTCAAAGATCAGCAAAGACCAAGAGGTCTTAATGTTTCAAAAACAGAAAAAAATGTATCCCTTTGGGAAATAATGGATATTCCTGGGCAAAGTGCATCTCTGTTGAAAAGAATCATCCTAATGATCCTATTTCACAATTGTGAAATAAAACAGTGGCCCCCTATGATTAGCGTGCAGAAAGATGCTGGGGGAAACATGTAATGATTGGGAAACAGGACTGCTGTTTCAGTGGCTTTGTGTTTGCATGTGCATAGTGTGAAGCTGCTGTAATGAGTGGGAAATTTTCTCGGACATCAAAACCTTCTACAGGTTTGAGTTTATAAAAAAAGTGTTAGTGAAGTCCATTAGGGATTGTTGCCCTAGATAGGTAAAGGCATTTGTAGGTACATATCTCCGTAAGACAAAGAACTTAAGAGAACAGTTACATGAAAAAAGTTAACCATTTGTGGTGTTTTCTGATGTAACTGATAACACAGATACAAATAACAGAATCTTTCTTAAGTGGAGATTAGGTTCTGAAGTCAGCACATAAGGCAAAGATCTGGGATAGTCAAAATTATTCTTGAAAATCCCTTACAAAGGTGTATCATATCTTCTTTCATTAAGTCCAGCAGAGGCAGTTTTATTTTCAGTGTTGGAACCAGAACTCCATTTCCTCAGTTGAGCACCAGATGAAATAGTCTGCCATGTTATATGAACAAAGCAAAGCATTTTTAAATGCTAGAATTCCACTCAGCACAGGCATATAATCACCCAGGGAGAAGCGTGAAGGGACTAGAACCATCTGGGAGAGAAACATGTTCATATCTGTACTCCAGGGCATAGTTTACTGAATGTACAACATTGCCCATGACGTTTGTTTTTCTTTTCTCTTCCAAGTAGATGCAGGGAAGGTGTCATTCAGTTCTGTTAACACCTAGTTGTGTGCACATACTGTTGCCCTGCAAAGCAAAATAACAAGAGTGCAAGGAACATGAGGTCTGTTATTCAGTAATAGGTTCCTTTTTCTACAGAACATTCCCCCATTTAAAAGCTGTTTAAACAGCATCAAGGCACACAATTAGTGGCTTTATGCATTCTCTGTATTACAGCTTACGGTAAAAATAAAATGTACTCTCCCAGTGGTAGTTAAGTACCCTTTGTGATGATAGGAGACCCAGATTTTTAAAATTACCAGCTAACTCAAATAGTAGGAGGAAAAACATTTTGATACTTTTTCTTTCACTTGACCCATGCTTTCAGGTATACAGATTGGTGACCAAGGAATTGGTTTCTAAGAGAGTTAGGAAAATACATCAGATTTGTTGCTTCATATGGCATGTTAGATCTGCTTGAATTTATTGATGTCTGAGGTATTGTTTTCTGTATAGTAACTTAGATCTGTTAGAATTTATTGATGTCTGAGGTATTGTTTTCTGCATGGTTGACTGCTAAAAATAACGGGTATCTGCAAGATACTGCTGGAAAAAAGCCCAATACTTAAGTCCTTTATTTGACTTCTTAAAGAGCAAAAAATGAAGACCATGCCATAGATCATAATCCTCTTAGGAAAATGTTATGGAAATAAGCAGTTATAAAAGGATTTGAGGCCTGAAAAACACTTGATAGGCTGTGTTCTAAGATCATTTCTAAACTATTACAGAAAGCTCTAGAAAACAATATTCCTACACCCCCTCCCCTGGGCAAAAAACAAACACTTTTGGAACTGATTTCTGAGATTAGTTATCCCATAGGTTTCTTAAGACACTGTCTCCCATATCATACTTGGTGGATTCTAAATTATAAAGATTGTGGGCTTCAGATTGTTCATTCCTTTTACTTCTTAATAGGTAAAGTGAATAAAACCAGTATTGGAAATTCTCAACAAGAGGCAGGGATTTATCAGAATCACCTGTGGTGTTTCCTTTAGCCTTTCCTTCTTCCCTTTCACACACAACTCTAGCAGTACCTTAAGAAAAGCATACATTATACACAGAACTTCTATTGCTACTGGGCTCTCCAGTGATCTCCTCACCCTTCTGATGCCGTTGACGTAAAGGGCAAAAGGCCTGCCTCGTGGTGGCACATGCCAGGTGACTGGCACAAGCAGGCATCCAGCAAGGTGCTCCTTTGCACCCTTGTGTTTTTGGGGTCGTTATTGTTGCAATGCTTGTGATAGGAGGAAGTTGATTACAGTATTAATTTTGATGTGGGTAAAATATCACCAGACTTGGTAGTAAATCAGAAGTGCCTAGCCTTTATCCTGGATTTTGTGTGCATTATAAATTCTCAGAATTAAGGAACTTAATTTGTAATTCTGAATCTTCTCATCAGTTTTCTGGAAATTATATATATACATGAAGTATATTTTATTATTATATTTCTTTTAACTACTGACTTACATGTTTGTAATGTGTTCTTTAATTATTAGGAGGAAACAAAAGTGTTACTAGAAAACCTGCATGGTTACCATACAAATTACTTCGTGGTTTTGAGATGTCTTCATCAGTTCACCTCTTCTCTTCCCAAGTACCCATTGGGTCGACAGGTAACCAGAACTTCCTCATTTGAAATTTGTGCAATAGGAATTAGTTTCTTGCTTTGATTTCTGCAACATTCAGGCATCAGAATTTGAAATGGATCCAAATCTTGCAATGAGTGCACAATTTAAATCCATTCCAGCTTTACGCATTACTGGTGATTGAAACAGTATTTTTTGTTCTGATGGCTACAGTGAGGAAACTGCCACATAAATTCTAGTGGTATTGCTTCCCCTCTGGTATATTTGTACAAAGGCATTTAACTTTCTTCCTTCAACACTTCTTTGTCACTTTCACTGAGAGTGTCACTTTCTCTGAGAAAGCTGATTCTCCACCTTAGTGAAATGGAAAAAAGAATCTGTTTGAGAATGCTTAATGGTTAATCTTGCATTGCACCAGGAACTAAAAGGGAAGCAGTCCTTCCACTCCTTGCAAACTCCCGCCCCACAGGCCTTTGTATCACACCACTCATCTATGAGCCATCTCTGGAGTGGATGTCAATGGAAGAATTCTGTATTCCTAAATCTTTGCATCCATAAATGTTTACAGAACAAATATAAATATGTAAGAATGACTTGCATATAAGATTATTTCTGCCATTAAGCCTTCTTCTTAATATTCACACTGTTTTTATCATTTCCTTATTGCAAAGTGACCGGTTGTATCAGCCAATCCCAGTATAGTCTCCGTTTGCTTTTATGTAAATGGTGTTCCTATAAAACTTGATCCAAATGATACAGACCAGTCTCTTGTCATCTTAAGAAGATGGTTGTTTTTAATAATAAATATTTTTTTTGTCTTAACTACTTATGATTTTTCCAAACCAGTGGTGTGCCCGCTTAGTGCATCACTTTTGGTTCCTCACTAGTATGCTGTTTGCTTACAGATCAGAGAGCTGTATTGCACATGTTTAGAAAAGAACATTTGGGATTCAGAAGAGTATGCCTCGGCCTTGCAGCTGTTGAGGTAGTTTGGTTTTTTTCATTTTTGTCTGCTCTAAGCCTATACCTTCCTCCAGAACTCATTCTTCTAAGGAGTTTCATAAGTAGCCATGCTGTACATAATACCTGGATGTATCTTGAATTTATGTTTATAGCTTTCGCTGTTTTTAATGTAGCAACCCTCCATTTCTTTGCTGGTTTTACCTTATTTTTGGACTTGAGGCTTTTAAACGAATGTTTATTTAGTGAAATGTTGACACTACATGAGGAGAGCTTAGGTATGGATCATTTTAATCCAGCCAGTTTGACATGGCAGGGAGAGTCATCATAGAAAGTGAGTTCACCATGGCCCCAACCTGAGGGGTGGAGGAAGAGCAGCATTGGGTGAAGTGCATCCTGGGAAGGAGGTCACTGCTACCCTTGATGAGATACAACCATGAATAGGCAGTGGCCTTGATGTTTCACCCCTTCTGAGCTGGCTCTGTCCACATTAATAGTGGATAATTTATAATTTATGTAATTCATAGTTTATATCAATAATAAGGTATTTAATGTCACTGTTGGATACCAAAGATCACTTGCTATCCCTGACAAATTTACCTTTTAAAGTTACAACAATCATTTATTTTCCTTGGCTTTAGTTCTTACATGTATCATGATTTTTTATTCTTCCATAAAAATAATGACTACTTGGATAGTGAAAAAGGGAAAATAAGTGTAAGGTTTCTGCACACAGCCTTAAAATTTTCTTCCTCAGTGGATATGAATCCTTACATAAAAATACTATAAAGTCTGAGAACTGTATGTTTATGACATCTTCATTTCCTCTGGGCCCACAAGAAAAGAACAGATGGGCACAGTAGGAGGAAAATTCACACTGAAAGTACTTTCAGTCCAGAGGCTTACTAATTCAAATGTTAGTGATCTAGGTAGTGCAGTTTAAGATAGGAAACCAATTTGATGCTATCTAGAAAAACAATTCCCCGTGGAAACTAGATTGCCACTGAAAAGCTATTTTTTTTATTCTTTTAAAAAAATTTTCATTTTATTTTTTTTAAATGCCAGTGAGATTTCTACATATTTATATGCTTCAACTGGAGTATTTCTGAGACTTTTTTGGCTTTCTATTCAAGTCAACATACTTACCTCAAACACCCAATTGATTCTTTCTGGGTTTCCTCTTTAACCTTTGTGATTAGTGATTTGTCTTCTTTTCCAGCTGGGTGTTCCCAAATTCCTCGATTCTTTTGTCAGGGAAGGGCTTGTTCTTTTCCTTCTGCATCTCGCTGGCCCTGGTAATCTTGGGGCACAAGGCAAAGATCAAGAATGCCAATTCCAAACTAGGACAAAGAAATACTGTAGCTCTTGGGGGGAGGGTTTTCCCAGCGGGAAGCAAATTCCCTATGAAATCAATGAAACCCAGTAAGTCAAGGGAAAGGGTCCATTGGGAGAAACCAATTTTTATTCCTCACAGCTGAGATTTGCTGGCCAGGCTCGTCCCCACCCATCTCCTCCAGCCGCGGCTGGCCGTCTGCCCCATGGTGCGCTCTCTGCTTCCTGCCTGCCTTCTCTGGGAGAAACTCCATTGGCGGGTCCTTGGTGACCAGCAGATGCCAGACCAATCACATACCAGGAACACAAGATAAGAGAGAACAGCCATCTTCTCTCCACCCTTGCACCAGAGGCTGCAGCAATAAACACCTATTGATATGTAAATGTACTAAGACCAGGTGGGAGATTATGGAAATTCTGCCATTTACCCCACAACCCACCCTTCCAGAATTCTCACCTTATTATACTCTACACATGCCCCAATCTTCTGTAACAACTTCTGTGAGAGAAAACTGGAATACTGAAACCAGATTAATAACATCCAGTTACAACAGAAATTATGCAAAAGTCATGACAGTCCTCAAGCCTGAGGATCCAGCTGGGTTCAAAGTCCTCCTCAGATTAAGCCCATAGCTGGCCTGTTCCCCAGAAGCCCAGCCGCTGAACTACTAAGGAGCTCCGTGCACACTCAGCAAGCAGCAGCTACAGCTGGGAGGTGGGCCCAAGCCACAGGACTCTGGAAGAGAACAACCTTAAGGGTGATGCAATACATGTTTAATGTCACCAGCATAGGCGATTCATCAGGCAGGGTGCATGCAGAGAACGGTCCTGTGAGTGGACAGTGGCAGGACAGGTGCAGGTGTAGTGCTACTGGAAACACAGGCACTGGCCACAATAATAAGACAAAACTCCGCAGTTGCTTTTACCTTCCAGCCATCTGGGTGCACTGCTGTGACCTTTGGGGGTGCTCTGCAGTTACTCCAGGAACACACAGGAGGCCAGCTTCCAGGCCTTGTCCCCAAGGGGCCAGTAGGGGCAGCCATTGCCAGCCCATGGGTCAAGATGTCCAAGGCCATGTAGTCTCCAGGTTGCTGTGGGGCTCAGTCACATAATGTGTTCCTGCCAGGCTCTACTGAGTTCTCCAAGTGTCAGAGGCAGGCCTCACCTACAGTCTGTAGCCCACTTGTGTTTTGCCCTGGACCAAGTTGTCTGCTCCATCGTCCTCTGGGGATGCCAAGGCAAACAGCCTGCAAGTTGCTGCCAGAGACCCCAGTCACACGGACCTCTAGTTTGTCCATTTTGCAATGGTGGAGGTAACTGCACATGTTTTATCCGAGCCCACCCGAGCCCTTGTGTACCAAGGGGCACAAGGACTTCAGCCTTTGTGCCAACTATAGGATAAACACTCCAATAGCCTACAGGACTCTTCTTGCAATAATGCCAGAGTTATCTGTAAAAGAATCAGGTGAGCATAAGATAATACACAACATTAGACTTAGCTATTCCGAAGGGGATTCAGGCTCATTCCACTCTTGACAGCTCACCTCTGCAACCATTGTAAAAGTGTGGGCCCCAGGACACCATTCAGGGTCACAGTAAATCAAGGAGTATCCAGCTCATGTGTCCACCAAAGCAAGGACATACTACACATTGATTGGGGACTGATCATTTACTCATCATGGGGCCTCTGTCAGAAGAGGCCCCAGCCAGCTCCCCAAGGTGGGTGCCTGACACTCCACTCAGTCAAACCGTAAGGCCCAACTGTCCTCTGCCAAGGGTCCAGGTGGGTTCTGCATGTCCTCCCCCAGCAAGTACTGCTGGCACACAGGCTTGACATGGGGCTTTGCGTCTGGCTTCCGTGTCCTGTACCTCAGCAGCTAGAATGGCTGCTCTAGCTTTAATTGGTGCCACAGTTCTAACAAGACCCTATTGGATTGCCTGTAAAGTTTTTCTTTCATACCCCCGCCTTTATCAAATCAACCTACGTCTGGGTCTTCAGAACCTTCACAGGGCCCTTTGAAACTCTCCTTTCAGTTGTTGACCATATTTCCTTCCATTCTCTTATTGCTTCAACCTCCCCCAGATCTGCTACCGTATGAGTAACCTCACTTATGGGTTGCCCTACATGGGAGGCAAGAATAGTCACTAGGAACCCAAAGAGAGATGGGGTTGCTGTATGCAGCACCACATTTTTCATCCCTATGTTGAACAACTCATCAGGACCCTGAGTGTCTATATTATAGGTGATATTTTTCATGCCCAACTCCTGTAAAACCTTCTGGAGCTCTATATACATTTGCCAGCTAGTGGGGAAGTGTGGTAAATCACCCAATTAGGTCAAATTACCTTGAGAGCTGCAGTCAGCCAATCCAAAAATGCGTGATTCCTTGGGGTCTGATGGGCATTTTGTAATCTCTGCCAGAGAGCGGAATGAGTTGTTAGAGAAGCCAGTTTACCCATTTCTGGCCCAGACAGAACAATGCCCTCTACTCCTAAATCCCAAAGATGTAAAAGCCATGTAGGCAAAGGTTCTGAGGGCTTCTGCCAACACTGGTGCTCAAATCCACCAGCTTAGCCTGGGTGTTGGAGTGGAGCGGGGGTGCTCCTCTCCCTAAGGAACCCATGGTTTTTCTGTCTTTATTATCTTAACTACAGCCCGTGGGCCTCCACTGTGGGAGGGGCTGGTGCCTAGGGCAGTGGCCTTAGCAACAGCTCTGCCCTGGCCCCACCCCCTCATCCTCCATGGCTCCTCCTCCCTGACGTCTCTACCGTCTCTTGGGCTGAAGGCACCACCCCTTCCTTCACCTCCCGCCAGTCTCTTGCAGCGTGCATTTTTCTGCTGCCGCCTCCCTCACTGCTAGTATCCTTCAGCAGTGCAACTTTGGTTTTCAATAGCTTTTGTTCCCTTTTCAGAGAATTCCACAACTCATTTTCCTGTTCTTCCAGTTAGCACTGAAGTGTGTCTCTCTCCATGGTAACCCTTTCCAGCACCATGAGAAACAGCCACCCCTCATACCCTGCTGCCCCAAGGCTACTCAGTTCCCCCAAGGAGTCCCCTATTTTGCAGAGCGCCAACCCCACTGCCTCAGGTGTCCCCACCCTCCCCCAGTTCTGGGGAGGGGCCCACTCTTCTAGGAGGCACTTTACCCCAAACCAAATTCCCACTAGGGATCCCCAGGTGAATCCCCACTACCTACAGGGGGATCCCTGGGTGAAGTGCCACCATCCCCAGGGGCATATCCAGGTGTAGCCCTACCATCTGTGGGGGGTTCCAGAGTGTCTCCCCACCACCCTCAGGGGGGTTCCTGGGTGTCTCCCCACCATCTATAGGGGCAGCCTACCCAAACATCTCACCCAAAAGATTTCAGGTTCACCAGATCCTGCTAACTGTGCCAAGTGTAGCTCCAGGGGAAAGGGTATTCCCAGCCTGGGGCGAATGCCTTATGAAACTGGTGAAACTGAAATAAGTCAAGGGAAAGGGTAGGTTGGGAGGAACCGTTTTTGATTCCTCACAACTTGCTCAAATCCGCTGGCCAGACTCGGCCCCATCTGTCTCCTCCAGCCGCCCCTTGTGCTCTGCCCCCTCGGCGCCCTCTCTGCTTCCTGGAGGAACTCCATTGGTAGGTCCTTGGTGACTGGCTGGTGTCAAACTAATTATGCACCAGGAACTGATGGGAGGAGAGAATGGTCATC